TTTTCCCCGGATTTACAGATCTGTCCCTCACAAATTTCCTCACAGGCTGGTCTCTCGGTTAGCCCTCAGCCAAACAAATTACAAAACTAACCTACCGGTTAGTGTACAGCCTCGCAGTTAGTCTCGGCAACAGAAATCAGCAAGTCATTGCACGCTTACCCTCCCCGGGAGCGAGAACCTCCGAGCTAGGGGTGCAGGCGAGGTGAACGGCGAAGGTTACCCTTCTGAGCCACTTCATACCGCAACACAATAGACTTTGCTGTCTTGAGAAGGTCCTTCCGGTAATACCACCGATTTTCAGTCGGGGGTTGGAAGGCGAACTTCACAAGATACTGCCTGTCGGGGCCAGAGCCCCACTCATCCTCAATGGACTCCACATCGTATCCCTTGCCAGGGATTGGTGGACCCCACTGAGGGGGCCGGTCAGGCAATGCATCAGCTGGAGTGAAGGGAAGCAGCTTAGATGCATGGAAGACCGGATAGGTACGTAGATGCAGAGGGACGTCAATGGTGTACGACGGACCAAAAGGATCAGCCCCTACTGTATCTAACACCTACCATGGACCCAAATACTTGGGCAGCAGCTTGGGAGAGATATCCTCCTCCCTCGACAACTCTGAACTGGCTACCCCGACATAGTCACCAGTACGAATGGGGGAAGGACTGCGATGGCGATTAGCTTGTTCAATCATTGCCTTTTGGGCTTTGAACAAGTTCGCTCGTGCTCTTTCCACATCAAGACAATAGCGTCTGGTGAACTCTGTTGTGCCTGGTGTCAGATCTGTCTTAGCCTTGTCAATGATATCATCGAGAGGCTGACGTGGCTCACGTCCCCAATGTAATCGATAAGGACTGAACCCGGTCGAGGACTGGACAGACATGTTATACATGATTTGTGCCCTCGCAAGGTGGAGATCCAAGTCCTGTTGATCTGGGGAGATAACAGGACGTAGCAGCTGGAACAGGACCTGGTTCATCACTTCAGCCTGACCATTGTCTTCAGGATGACGACCAGACGTCACGTCCAGACGAGAGTGCAAGTAGTCCTTACAATAGGACTTCGCTGCAAAAATGTGGATCTCGATCACTGACAAAAGAGATGGGCGGTCCATGGTTAGTGACCCACCTCTCAGAAAAGGCTGCTCTCACAGCCGGGACCCTCCCTACCTCTGGCAAGGGGATGAACTCTGCGTATTTGGAGAACCTGTCAACGCAGACCATGACCTGACGCATGCCACAAGGGGTGGTCTTGCCTAAGTCTGTAAAGTCGATAGACACAGACTGAGCAGGACCATCAGGTATGGGTAAGGGTTTGAGCAGTCCTAGAGGAGGTTTCCGTTGAACCTTGTTCCTCTGACACAGCTCACAGGTTTCCACATAGCGCAACATCTCACTCCGCATCTCCTTCCAGAAGAAGCGTTGCGACAGGGCTGCATACGACTTCAAGAACCCAAAGTGTCCATGTGCATCGTGGCACTCTGACATTAGCAGTGTCCTAAGCTGCTCATCCTCATGAATGCATAAGCGCTCCTCCTCTGCTGTAAGTGTACAGCAGATCTGAACTCATGGCATAGCCAGGTTCGGAATTGGGATCTGCTTGCAGATTCCTGACAATGGTTCCATAAGTCGGGTCCTGAGGCAGTAAGCGAGCAATGGTCTGACGGACCTCCTCTCCAAAGGAATGAGTAGAGGAGATCAGCGTAAAAGAATCAGGCCTACGAGAGAGGGCGTCAGCTACTTTATTGTAGCAGCCCTTCTTGTGTTTCAGTTCAAAATCAAACAGGTTTATGAACTGAATGTAGCCTGCCAACTTATCATTTAACTCTCCCTGGGACTTCAACCACTGTAAAGTGGAATGATCAGAGAAGATCTTAAAGTGTCTTCCCAGGAGAAAGTGCTTCCAATGTTTCAGGGCACTGACAAGAGCATATAGCTCTTTCTCGTAGGTAGAGTCCTGAAGCTTCTGAGTCCTGATCTTCTTGCTCATGTACTCGACAAGTCTCATACCATTGCCATCATCCTGCTGAAGTACGGCCCCAATGCCATATTGACTGGCATCAGTGGTCAGGACAAATGGCAAGGTGGGGTCAGGTAACTTCAGAACAGGGGCACGAGTCAAGGCCTGTTTGAGTCGTGCAAAGGCCATTTGACAGTGAAGGGACCAAAGAAAGGGAATATCTTTCTTTGTGAGGTCAGTCAGGGGTGTCGCCACTGCAGAAAAGTTCCTGGCGAACTTTCTATAATAGGAAGCCAGACCCAAGAAGGACCGAACATCTCTTACTGTCTGTGGCTGTGGCCACTCCTGAATAGCAGCAATCTTGGCTGCTTTAGGAGCCAGACCATCTCCAGAGATTACGTGGCCCAGGTAGATGACAGAGGTAACTCCAAAGGAGGACTTCTCTCTGTTAATCTTGTACTGGCTCTCACGTAATGACTGAAGGACAAGAGTCAAATGCTCCGCATGTTCCCTGGCAGTCCGGCTGAATACCAGGATATCATCCAGGTAGACGACCATGAACTTGTCCAGGTAAGGCCTGAAGATGCGGTGCATCTCTGTCTGGAATGTGCCAGGTGCATTGCAAAGTCCAAATGGCATAACCAGATACTCATATGTCCCATATCTGGTTTTGAAGGCTGTCTTGTGGACATCCTCCTCTGCCATCTCAATCTGGTGATAACGAGACTTGAGGTTGACTTTGCTGAAGATGGTGCATCCCTGGACCATATCCAAAAGGTCATCGATCCTAGGAAGGGGCTCTGTACTCTTCCTAGTGATCTTGTTGAGACCCCTGTAGTCGATGCACATTCTGAACTCGCCACTCCCTTTGGGAATAAAGAGGACTGGGGCGCCGAATTCAGAAGTGTTGGGCCTAATCCAACCTTTGCTGGTCAGGGTCTCAAGCTGTCGTCTGAGCTCC